CGGTTTACATCTTTTTTAACAAACTGCCACCTGGGAAGGCGGTTCATTGAGCTGCCCTACAACAAACGACCTCTTCAAGGAGATGTTCTATGTCAACAATAGAAATCGCTCCTTGAGAATGCGGTTTATTATCTCGACACACAAACTGTTTCCTCCCCCAACGGTGTGTGTGTCGTCTCCAGACATCCGACAGATCGACATGCAGGGGGTGGGGCTGCAAGGCAGGCTAGAAACCGACAATGATGATTAATTGTGTATATTAGTGTTAATTACATTCGTATCTGGTTGTTGATTTATTTATGTATTAGCGTTAATTAATTTCGTGATTACCTGTGATGTATTTATATAATAATTTAGTTAAATGTTGTTCAATTAAAGGAAATGTTTTTAAACTCTTGTTCATTCATAACCATGAAAGAACCTATAAAAAATAAAACGAAAACATAACACAAAAGTTTGATGCTACATATTATTACACGGAAAAAATCAAAATCTGCCACTAATTAAAACCCTAAACGAAACTCCGCTAAGTTGAGATCCCAGTCGCAGACTCATTCCCCTGCTCCCTTCTTCCTCGTTTCAGCAAAATTCTATGTAGATCCCTTTCTAAAGACGCTAGTACTATTATCCAAAAATTCACTCGACGGAACTTACATCCTGTCGATCCACGCCATCTTCTCATTGACAAATCCCCCCCCCCCCCCCCCTCTTTCTCCTTACAACCTTCCACTCTTCTAAACCCAAATCGTTGATCCAAACTGCAATATCATGCGCCATCAAGAAGTCGTTACCCATAGAGTTCAAAATCTCCTAGTTGAAAGATTCTCTTTCACATGTAAAGACTTTGGGATTTATCCAGAAATAGCACCATTAAAAAAATTACAAAAATAGCACACATCTTGGCCAAGCGGTTTGCTTTCTGACCTAACAGAACCGCATCATGGCAAGGCGGTTCTTAGGCTGACCTAGCAAAACCGCCTGCTGAGGATGTTTGTGTGTCGTCCCCATTTTTCCGACATACAGCATGTTGGCCATGCAGGTTGACAAACGTGGGGCTGCATGGCAGATCAAAACTGCATCCTCCCCTGCGATTTTCAGTGATGATTTAGCCTATAAAAGGCAGGCCTGGTAAACCTCTTCTCTTCACACCTCACCTTCTTCTTCAATTTTCTGTTGTAGCACCCTACTTTTTATTGTTTTTGCGATTAACGTTAACTCGTAAGTTTATTTTGTATTACTTTTTCTTGTGATTTTTATGATTTTAACTGAATTACGATTTTATTGCAGATGGCATTCCAAAAGTTCACCATTGGGTTACGTTGGAATGGTTATACGAAAGTGACCGGAAAGGGGGTCACCTACGTCGGTGGCAATTTTCAGAAAATAAAGGTTGCTACCAGACCGATGCTTGAAGACCTATATCAAATGTGTACTAACGTTACTTGCATGGATGGCACGAGAAGAGTTGATAGTATGGTATACCGATATCCAAACAGAAAGGCGGGTTGTTGTGGCATGAGGAATATCTCATAACCACTCAGGATGAAGTAGATGTCATGCTCGAATTCTTGAGGTCCAATAATTTTCAGTGCAATCCATGGCAAATGCTCCAAAGTCCAAAATTGAACGATGAACATTGCCCCGCCAACCTCTCTCGCAGCTTTGGGAGATGCATTACACAAATGGTGGTAGATATTAGCTAGGCAAGCGGATGCCCAGCTCAACTCCCCCATTGCATCCCAACTACCAAGGAGGATCCTAAGCCATCCACAACTAATTAAATTGTTGGATTTTTTGGAAAACACTCCTCCGATCATGCCTATGAGATAGACACGAGCATATCTTTTATTCACCTCCTCGGGACTTTCCTCGATCAGAGGCACCCCGCCTTCTGTAGGATCGTGTTGGTCCTTCAACCACTTCGTCAACTAAGTGATTGATACTTGGTTTTTTCTCAATGTTGCTAAGCGATCTGTCGCATCAACGCTCCCCTTGACTGGCACTCTCACCCCCAAAACACTGTAAGATCAAATGCTGCCAACCGGTCATATCGCCAACATCCTCGGGCGCATGATCACTCACACACACTGCTTTGCCGTCGATGGGCAGATGGGGACGTCCTTTAGAGTGATGGTGCACTCTCCTTTGCGAAAGTTGAAGCAGTGTGTCTCTTTTCGCCATCTCTCCACCAATGCGGTGATGAGCTGACGATCGATTTTTATGCCCGAAAAATGCCTAATCGACTCCAACCGTGCCTTTTTTATAAATGGCAAGATAACGTCGTTCCATGAGAGCACATAGGTCGTACCCCTATAGCGGAGTATTTGGTACGACCATGCCTAATCAACTCCAACCGTGCGGAGCACATAAGAGGCATACCAAATACTCCGCTATAGAGGTACGACCAATGTGCTCCCATGGAACGACGTTATCTTGCCCTTTCTCAAAAAGGCTGGAGTCGATTAGGCATTTTCCGGGCATAATAATCGATCGTCAACTCATCACCGCACTGGTGGAGAGATGGCAAAAAGAGACATCCTAACCCATCACTCTAAAGGACGTCACCATCCTAACTCATCTGTCCATCGACGGCAAAGCGGTGTATGTGAGTGATCATGCGCCCGAGGATGTTGGCGATATAACCGGTTGACAGCAGTTAATTTACAGTGTTTTGATGGGACAGATCGCTTAGCACCATTGAGGAAAAACCAAGTATCAATCACTTGGTTGACGAAGTGGTTGAAGGATAAGCACGATCCTACAAAAGGCGGGGTGCCCCTAACCGAGGAAAGTCCCGAGGGGGTGAAGGAAAGATATGCTCGTGTCTATCTCATAGGCATGATCGGAGGAGTGTTCTTCTCCAAAAAAATTCAACAATTTAATTAGCTGTGGATGGCTTAGGATCCTCCTTGGTAGTTGGGATGTGATGGGGGAGTTGAGCTGGACATCCGCTTGCCTAGCTAATATCTACCACCATTTGTGTAATGCATCTCTCAAAGCTGTGAGGGAGGTTGGCGGGGCAATGTTCATCGTTCAATTTTGGGCTTGGGAGCATCTGCCATGGATTGCACCGGAGATTATTGGACCTCAAGAATTTGAGCATGGCATCTACTTCATTCTGAGTGGTTATGAGATATTCCTCATGCCACAACGACCCGCCTTCTCTGTTTGGATATCGGTATACCATACGATCAACTCTTCTCGTGTCATCCATGCAAGTAACGTTAGTACACATTTGATGGAGGTCTTCAAGCATCGGTCTGATAGCGACATTTATTTTCTAAAAATTGCCACCGATGTAGGTGACCCCCTTTCCGGTCACTTCCGTGTAACCATTCCAACGTAACCCAAGCGTGAACTTTTTGAATGTCATTTGCAATAAAATTGTAATTCAGTTAAAATCGTAAAAATCACAAATCACAATATAAAGTAATACAAAATAAACTTACGAGTTAACGTTAATCGCAAAACCAATAAAAAGTAGGGTGCTACAACAGAAAATTGAAGAAGAAGAATGAGAGGTGTGAAGAGAAGAGGTTTCCCGGGTCTGCCTTTTATAAGCTAAATCATAACTGAAAACCCCAGGGGGAGGGTGCAGTTTTGATATGCCATGCAGCCCCCACGTATGTCAACCTGCATGGCCAACATGCTCGATGTCGGAAAAATGGGGACGACACACGAACCGCAGGGGGGTGCGGTTTGTGTGTCGGCAAATGAAAACCGCAGCCTGATGATGCGGTTTGTGTTAGAGAAACAGAACTGCATCCTCAGCAGGCGGTTTTGCTAGGTCAGCCTAAGAACCGCCTTGCCATGATGCGGTTCTGTTAGGTGAGAAAGCAAACCGCTTGGCCAAGATGCGATTTAGTCTATGAAACTCAAACGTCAAACCGCACCATCAGGTTGCGGTTTATATGTAAACCGCACGACCAAAGTCTGGTTTTGAAAAAATATGCTACTTTTGGAATTTGTGTGGCCTAGGTGTTATTTTTGTAAAAAAAAATTAATGATGCTATTTTCGTTTAGGGTTTCAATCAACAACCCAGTTAGGGCTCAATCATTTAGTTGGGCCATGGTCTCCTTTTATCTGTTAGTTCCTATGGCCTATGGGTTATGCCTAACAAGATAATGATATGCTTGTGTTGTGCATTATCAAATAGGCATGTTTATAAAAAAATCTCGGTGTCTAATTGGATTTTACCATTTTAGACTACTAAAGACATTGGCTATTAAGTTAGTGATGCTTCTTGTTTGACTTAGTTAGGACTTAGGATGTAACCACAAAACTTTCCAATTACTCTCATTTTTCCTATGGGTGGGAGTAATTTATCAAATTTTGATATTATTTTAAATATTATTTTAATTAAAATAATATAATATTAACGCTCTCACAACACTCTGAATTTATAATTCTTTATGAATAGACACTCTCACACTCTCGCAGTCGCTCCCGCTCCACGAGTAGGTAAGCTAACGTAGAACCACTTCATGGAGAGGCGGTTTGTTGTAGGGCAGCCCAATGAACCGCCTTCATGGCGGTTTGTTAAAAACATGTAAACCGCCACCTTAGCATGCGGTTCATATGCAAACCGCATCCTTGGGTGTCGGTTTTCAATAATGGTGGTAGTTTCGTAAAAATTTCGATTTAGGTGATATATTTGTAATTATTTTTTAATTAATGGTTGATTTGGATTTTTTTTCGTGTAATAATATGTAGTATCAAACTTTTGTGTTTAGTCTTCATTTTATTTTTTATAGGTTCTTACACGGTTATGAATGAACAAAAGTTTAAAAACATTTCCCCTAATCGAACAAAATAATTAACACTAATACATAAATAAATCAACAACCAGATACGAATCTGGTCAACACTAATATACATAATTAATCATCATTGCCGGCGGTCAGACGCCTCTTTTGGAAGAAAAGACAAATGTCTAATTAAAGATTATATCAAACAAACAGAGTCCAAAACTTAGGTGGAAGGGTTGGATTCTACTTACCCGGTCATCAAAGGGCGGTGGTGGAGTTTCGTTCCGCCCGGCCGGACTTGTAGAAGAACCCACGCCGATTGCCGACGGCCGCACGAGCTTGCTCTTCGAGTTCTAACATGGGCAGCTAGCAGGAGAGAGAGAGAGAGGTAACCTAGATCCAGCTGCGGGAAGAAGAGGTAACGGCTGAGGGCGAATTGAAGCTGAACGGTATTTGATTTGAGCAGAGCCTCGTCCGTGAACTGAAAGGAAGCCTTCAGAAACTTTGAGAAAGGGAGAAAGTGTGTGTGAAAGTTGGGGAAAGCCAGAGTCGACGACTAGGGCAGAAGTTCCAATAAAAGTTTCAAAACGGCCCTTCAGGGGACTAAAAAGAGAAAAGAAGAGTAGAGCAGGTGGGAATAAAGACTGAAGAGTGTCGGTCGGCCACAGGAAAAAAGAAAAAGCAGTGGGCTCTGCGCCGTGCACCAGGTATATTATCACGGCTTGGCCACCCACTCCTACTTTGTTGTGAAAACCGCATCGAAACCGCGCGTTTAGTGAAAACCCTAAAAAAATTAGGTCATTTGGCAGTGGTGGACAGTGCCTCATCCTCTGATCGTCCCGACAACCAGCAATCCAGCATCCCACATGACCACACCTCTCGGCTCCCACCTCCAGGTCAATGCGGTTAGTCATGTGGTTAACTGCACATTGCTGCGATTAGTGGTTGACCGCAAACCGCAAGCGGGGTGCGGCCACGGTTGGCCAATATGGACTATTCTCGGTTAACCGCAAATTTCGGTGCGATTAATTGCAACCGCAGCGATTCCCAGCCTTACCTTAGCCTATATTAATAAATAGGTACTCTTTCGATATAAACACTGATACAAATCACAGGACGTTAGTAAAAAATTGTTCTCGCCGCACTGCACATTCATTGAATCAAGAACTGACGCTCTGCAACTAGTGATGGCAATGGGTCGGGGCGGGGCGGGTACCTCAATACCCATGCCCCGCCTCATGCTATTACGGGTCGGGGCAGGTAATATCCGCGCGGGTACGGGGCGGGACGGGTCGACCCATCCTTATATGCTATTTGGAAAAAATACAAGCAAAATTTTAATTTTTACGATAAAACGAATGGGAAAAGACTTCGTGAATGGATAATATTGATAATATAATGGTTAATTGAGTCTATTTAGTTGAAAGATCAAGTCTAACCAGTTAATCTTGACCTAGAAAAGTCAAATTAGAAGATATATGCATGGATGACATAAAAAATTGACTTAGAATGGGCCAAGAACAAGGCAGGCGGGTCGGAAGTTGGTACCTATGCCCCGCCCCACGCTACTGTGGGTCGGGTAATACCCACCCCATCGCAGATCAGATCAGGTAAAACCCAGCGGGGCGGGTTCAAATTGCCATCCCTATTTGCAACCATCATATGGACAGCAGTAACAATTACTATCGCAGTGGTTCTATGAAATCAACGTGCCATAACCTATTGCCAGTCACAACTCACAAATCAAGCCCAATAATTAGGGATGGCAACAAAACCCGAATCCACGGGTACCCACCCGACCCAACCCGTTCAACGCAGGTAAAATCCGTGTTGACGGGTTTTGGGCCGGGTTTGGGTTTAAACCCGTTCACTATTCACTGGGTTGGGTTGGGTTTGAGTTTAGGTAAATCCGACCCGTGGGTACCCGCCCACCCATATAATTAATTTTTTTGGTATATTTAATATTCTAAACAACTAATCTTATTTATGTTTGTGGAGACATGTCTAATTTTTTTTTTTTAATTGTGTAGAATGAAGTTGATGTTATGGAGTGGAGAGTAAAGAAACTTAATTGAAAGGAAGAAGCTTTCAATTAAACATGTTATTTATGGATAATTTGTGATTTGCTTCAATTTTCTTGAGTTTTCTAGATTGGTGTTGAACAATTTGTATAGTTAATTTGTGATTTGCTTGAATTTTCTAGAATGGTATTTTATATATGGATAATTTGTATTGAGAGATTGATATTTGACTTTAATTTTGATAAAAACTTGTAATTGTAAATTTTTTACGACAAAACCCGTGGGTACCCATGAACCCGCGGATACCCAACGGGTTGGGTTTGAGTTTTTCAAACCCAGTGGGTTTTACCCCGGGTTTTTTTCAAAGATAAACCCATGGATTTAGGTTTGTCAAAACCCGACCCATTGCCATCCCTACCAATAATGACAAACAAGAGGTAGTCCTTTTACTCATTCTCTTTTTTTTTTTTTCTTTGAAAGCCCAACATAAAATTACCCCCCTTGCAAGAAGACAGTTTGTCTTTATAAACATATATTCTATCTTTATCTACAGCCCAAATAGAAATTAAGCTCAATAAACAAGTTGATGTAGGCTTCATCCTTTGAGATAGAAGGCTGTCAACATAATAGGTAACATTCAGAACCCAACTCCATCTAAAGACAATCAATTGATAAGCATCCACAAGAAAGGCCAGCCAGCTACAACTACCAGCACTTTCACTCCTTTTACTTCTATCCTAGAATTAACACCACCAACTCCAAGGTAGACTCGACCTCATTGCAGTTCCAGATTGATGATTCTAGTTTACCAACATATGCTCAAATCCTCCACCACCCTGAAGTCCAGCAGGAACGCGGTTCACCCCGACATTGTGAAGCAACTGTTGCAGCCATCGCCTTGTGGTGGGATCTTCCTGCAAAACCTCACGTAACAGCAATTACAGTTCAATGTCCTTCCTTCAGGGAGAAAAAAGCAACACAGAGATGTGAAAAGCGGAGTTTCTTACGCGAAGACAGCTGTTGAAGGTAGCATCTCTCAGCATTTCTGGTAGGCAACTCCTTAGTGCATCACATGCCCTGAGGTTGTCAGATAGTCGAAGGTAGCATCTGATGATATGTTTCAGCAACCTAGGAGATGGCTGTTCAGAAAGCGCCGTCACCATGTTACCGAGAACTCTTCCTACCGCGAAAAACCTTTCTGCTGTAGTACAGATGTAATCAAGACCCACGTCGTCCAGTAATATCTTCTGAACTATAAATGTTGCGACCTGCCATCAACAGGAAAGAACTTCTCGCAGTGAGTTTACTATGGCACAACTTAAAAAACAAAACATGAGGGGCTCGTTGCAGCCGTTGTCTTGTTTGGATGGGAACAGGATGACCACTCCCTTTAGTAAAGATATAAAGAAGGCATAGAGTAAGGGCACCAACCGTCTTTGACAGTTCACTCCCCATCTCCATGGTACGCAGACACAAGGGGATTATTTCAGTTGACAGAAGGAAACTAATGACTTCAGTGTCATCAACCTGGCAATTTTAAAGAAAAAATGTGTATGATGCTGCAGCAGTGGACGAACTTTAGATTGTCCGTAGGAGTATCAGCAATCACAGGTAGATACAAATAGAACAGGAACAATAAGAAATACCTTCACCAAAGCACCAATGACACCTAAACTAGTAAGCCTCAAGTACTCAAAAGGCCTGGACTTGTTTGTTGTGTTGAGGAAAGGGTACAGATAGAGAGGTATATGAGCTGCAAATCATCAGTTCAGAATAAAAAGACACAAGTGTCAGAAATAATCCAAAGAGCATGCCGAAGAAACTAGTAGCATCTCTGGAGCGTTTGCATTGCTACAGTACTGGATAAAGGAAATACATATATTTTGCAGGATTTTTCCACGGGTGAGAGATGAAGCAAGAGTATTACCATTAAGGAACAACATCCTTGTATCCGGATGAGAGGCAACACACTGTGAGGGAACAGAGAAAATTATGATGCATTAGCAATATTCTCTTAAATAAGTAACCACAACACAAGTTGCCCAATATGTAATAGGAAATGTCTTTACCCACTTGATAGGGAAAAAGAAAGAAAAAGTAAGGGAGGTGTTTCTTCAAAAAGTTTAATCACCTCCAAACTACCTATGTTGTCTATCTAAACCCTTCAACTTACGGACCCAAAAGGTACTTAACCGCTAACATGAAGATTTTGATTTACTGTTTTCAAACACAAGTACACAACTATGTGTTAAAGGACTTCTCTGTCAAAAGCACTATAATTATTTCGCAGAACTGATCTTCAAAGATTGGGCCATAAAATATAAAATGTGGATATTTTCAGCCCATGCAAGCAAAAAATGGTCATTGTATTGACTCATGATTATGTTAACAGTGTATATGTTGTGTAAACGCAGAAAAGTGCAGTACACAAGGTCGTAGAAGTGAACATAATCACCATCCAACACTGAAGTAATACAACAAAGTATCTAACCTGAAGCAGAGCAAGGGCGTTGCAGACCCTATTTGATTGAGCAGGGCTTAAGTTTGGCGGAGACAGAACAGGATATATTGAAACTATCTCCTGAAAGTATAAATGAACAAATGAGAATTGCCTAAAGATGAAACGTTTAAATTGATTACCAATTGGGAATATTGAAGTGTGTGGTACCAAAATCAAAACAGGCATACCAAATTCCAGAACTAACTATTTTGGAATAGGACCATTGATCTGGAGTATTTTCAGTACAAAGCACTTGTAACATTATTAGCATCATGGAGTCGATAAACAAAAAGAAGAAACATCATGTTTAAAGCACATTGCAATTGAATAATAGACATTATACAACACAGCTGGCACCCCAGTGATACCTTATCTGTTTACAGGAACTCTACTTACGTGATCCACCACGGTGGATCATTCAACCCAGTAGTACCTCAACTAAATGTCGATGGGAAGGTATAGTGGTATTAAGGCATTCAAACATAAGGGAAGTATTCAGATGCGTAGGAAATCAAGATTTCCTCGACCAGCCTTGTCCACTACATATGGCCACATATAGCAGGGAGAGTATCGCTCAAAAGCTTTTGAGTCAGACCACGACAACAAAACTCAAGTAAAACAATCGCCAGAATGATGTGAGGAATTCCGTAAACACTAAAGCAGATCCACAAAGGTCTGATATGATGTGAAATATGTAAAACAAGGAAACTACATATAGATGGTTTACCTGCAAAAGTGCAGCAATTGTACCAAAGGAGTTCCACAGCAATGGAGCCAAATCCTGAAATAATTCCCTCTTCTGAAAACATCAACACAGGAAAACACGAGTTAGTTAGGAACATTTGCACAGCACCTCATCAAGAAATGTACCACCTCTGGCTTACAAATGCAGGTACATCTATCCAATTGACTGCAGTCCTAAAGCTAGGAAAAAAGATTGACAGAACATTTAAC